CACGTACATTTTGAACTTTGGACAGGCTGCATGGACTGCGAAATCATGGTTAAATTGTGTTTTGTGTTGACTGGGTGTATATTGAAATCAAGTACGAGGAAAATGTTGTCACAAACTCGTTGTGTCGGGATACTTTCAGAAAATACAAAAATAACATTTCGTACATCTGTATGTCCCAAAGTATAAACATGCCGATCGGGGGCCGGTGTCACGTGACTTTATTATTACAAGTATATCTGTGAGAAAGATGTGTAGGGGACCTGTGTAGCAACATTGAAGCTTGAACTTTAGTATTACATTTATACGTCTGCTTATATTGACGACTCTGAGTGCAAGGCATTCTGGGTGTATCCAGCAATTCATTTGTGTCATCCGTGTAACACTGTTCAAACTATTTTAAAAAGCGTCAATACGCAAAATTAAAATATGTTTTATTCATATTTTTATTATTAATATTAATAGTAGTAAGTATCAAATATATTAATGTATACAACATAACTTTGTATAGGTTGAAAACTAACTGTGATGTTGACGGTACATTTTGTACCGCGTGCTTCCCAGATTTAAACTGAATCCCCAATATAACATCGTGTGCGTTTCTTTTCTTTTAATTGCAGATGATGAAACATGTCGCAAAACTCTCTTTCTTCTTCATTTCCTTGGTTATTTATTTTACTACTCGGGATTTCTCGGGAATGGACAACCCGATACTAAAGATTATACCAATTATATCACTTGTGGCATTTGTTGCCTTACACTGTGGCACCAAGTGGTCGAGGTACCCTATTGGTATTGTGATTGGTCTAATTTTGTCCGCCATTGGTGACAGCTGTCTGGTATACATACGAGATCCGAGTTATTTTGTAAAAGGAATTATAGCGTTCTTGTGTGCGCAGCTCGTCTACACTGTGACATTCGGTTTCCGTAGATTCAAGCCATACATTCTAATATGTTGCATAATCGTTGGTTCTTCTATTTATTTTTACATCTTCCCTCAACTGAAAACTGAGACCGTCTACCTGATCGCCATCTACGACGTTCTTCTTTTCTTGATGACATGGAGGGCGCTGTCGCGCGTACATCTTGAAAAACCTGGCAGCATTCTGTGCGGTCTTGGTGCAATTTCGTTTATAATTTCGGATCTCACCTTGGGGCTCGTCATAACGGAACATATCCCACCCAATGAGTTTATTATCATGGCAACGTACTACGCAGCACAGTTTGGAATCGCCATGTCCGTCATAGACTTGTATACAGATGAGGAATCTGAATGGGTCGACCTGGAAAACCCTTCCTTTAAAATGAAGCGTCCATGAGCGATGATGAAATTACGATTCACCATATTAAGCCCTTCTACGATGTTTTTGAATGTCGTACTTCTATCTATAATGGATCTCCCGAACGAAGTTTACCAGGTTAATGTTAATAAAGAAACGATTCGTTAAATTTAAAGCAGAGTTGGTGATAATTCAAATACTGTTGATCTGTTATTAATTCGTGGAGCTATATAAGGAGTTACCTTTCCACGATCACCACTACAATCACTGCATTTATCACAAAATAACATCGTGAATGCATGACCATTCAATTTGTTGCCGAATGTTAGATGTGAACTTGGCAGTGATCAAAACAATGCCCTGCAATATTACAATATTCCCAGATTGGATTTATTTTGCAACTCAATCATTACATGGACTGTCTTAATTGTATCTTACTAATACAAATTCGACCCTTCTGCAAATACCCGGAGGAATGCTCATGTGCCCCCCCCCCGCCTTCGAGCATGCGGGGCTACTCATAGCACAGAAATATACGTATGCTTCACGGGAAAGCCTTCTCTTTTACAACAGTAGAGCTTGAAAAAATCGAGTTTTGAAAATAAAAAACTTTATAATCACCCCCACTTAGTCATGGGGAGCATGTAGAATGTATCATTCTTTTACAATCTACAGAAATAAGTTTCACATGCAATGAAGATGTTTTCCAAATGAAATTACTGAATTACATGTATATGATGTTACTCTCATTTGTCACATATTACTGAGACTGAACAGGCTCCGGAGGGGGGGGGGTGATGGAGAGAAGGAGAAGAGCTACAATAATGTACGCAGTCGAATAAGGGAGGGTCACAGCAATGGGTATGTACATGCAATCGCGTTGGTACTACAAGTCAAACACTACAACAACTAATAACTACATGTACCTCAAATAAATTTACTGTCATGTGTTTCCTAGAATTAATAACACCCTAAATGATTTTAAGTTTTTTCAATATGCTTGGTTTTTTTGCTAACGCCTTTGACTCATCTTTGTTTTGATGTGTGCGTGATTTTCCAATAATTTGAAATACTATCACATACATAACAATATCAGAATAGAAAAAATAGTTTTCAATCTATCAAAGCATAATTATGCATTCTGTGATACATAAAGTCGATGGCGAAATTATGTCAGATCCTCTGCTAGAGCCTTAAAATATAGCTATATGAGGGATTGGCAAGTGGTTGGGAATTGTGTTAGTTATTCACTGTCACATATTAATAAGTCGTTTCCTTCAAAATATATGTAATTCACCAGCTCCTTGTGGCAGGGAGGTGAGTTTGGTGACTTTGAACAATATCTTCACAATCACAAATCAAATGTTGCTCTGCTAAATGCAGAACTCTAATATTGCTCTTTGGAAGAAGGTGCCATAATAATAGAACTATTATTGCACCTTCATTAGGAAATATAAAGACACAACCCAGTGTACGAGATCATTGGTAAGATTTTCATTGGGATAAAACACGTGTAGTGTTTTCAAAATGTATGTCTACACCACTTTTAAGTAACACGTTCATTTATCTTGAGTATAGATGCATTCAGTATCTAAGCTTTAAAAGTGTGTGATGGTATGTCAGTGCAATGTGTCATGTGATAGAGTCACGCATGCACTCCCAGCAAAGGAGAAAAATGAGGTGAATAAAGTAGTTGCAAACATGGTGGATGGCGGAAAGCATAATCAATGGGTGGTCCTAACATACCACAAACTGTATGTTAAAATTTAAACCCGTTTGGTTGTTTTGTTCCATAAAATACTTAAACCTCATATTAACTGATTATTTTGCATAATTGCACTCACTGACTTGAAACTGAACTTGATATTGTGAACGCGGTAACCCGGCTTTTGCCATTTATACACTCCCATAATATTTTATTTTAGTAAAAAGACACCGTCCAAAAAAAATTAACAAGAGGCAGTATGCAAGTCTATATACTATACAATTAATATTGTAGATTGGAAAAAAAAGTTCAAACCAAAATGTCAGTGTGCAGTTTGTAACAAGAATATATTGTGAGTTTAAGTTGGTAAAGTTGGATGGATGGACAGAGGATATTACCACTAGTTTTGCAGCAATAACACCTTGCTATATAGACATGTAATGACGCTCATTGAAATGGTTATTACTGAATTGATATCATATATGACTTAATGACCTATGTGATAGAAAATAGTATTAAATGTTTTTTCATGGAAACTTGGTTCTCTCAGATATCTTCATTGAGGTGTCGTTAGTAATAATATCACAATTTATAAAGGGTTATTCAAGGATGGGGACAACATAATTCGTGAAATCTATTATTGGGAGTTCATATGTTTCTATGAATTTGATTTTTAAAAAGCACCAGCAATCCTCTGTACAGTTTTTCCAGTCCTTATATGCACAATAAACTTTCGATTCCCCTTGAGTCTTGTTTGTGCAATATTGACTTTCGCTCGTTGACGTCACAGTTGAGCACGTGACTCAGTTCAACCTGAGGTCATCTCCATCGACGCGTAAACACCGGTGGTTTACTGCGGTCCTCGCCATGCCACAGCTAAAGGTAAATATTGACATCACATATCTCTTGTTTTATCAGATTATTGTGTTTTGTGAAGTGTTATGTAAACCCGAGCGTTAGTATTTGAAACGCTTGAAATCTAGGTGGTATTTTAACGATGGTTTCATGGCTCTGTCATATATGCCAGGTGCAGTCAATTCTCTGAGACAAAATTTATTTTATTGGCCTTTTGAAGTATGCTAATTAATATAAAGGAAAGACGCGAAATTAAAAGCTGTTCATAAGCTACCCTCCACCTGAAAAAAATTGTCTTCCCCTCCTGCTGACCAAATTCATCTTTCCCCTGCCCTCATTAAAAAAACACTTTTTTGCCTACTCCCCTACCGCCAACTTGCCTTTCTTCCCTCAGGCTGACCAAATTCATCTATCCCCTCCCCTCATTAAAAAAACACTTTTTTGCCTACTCCCCTACCGCCAACTTGCCTTTGCTGCCCTCCTGCTGACCAAATTCATCTTTCCCCCAATGCGTTTTTATTATACCCTGCCCTAAAGGCTGTTTTGCCCACCCTGCGATATTTTTTTATGTAAGTACTAAAAAAAAGTATCCCTGTCCTTGCATTTTTTGTAGTAATCTGCTCTGCCTACTGGGGGCACTGATATTTCCCGTCCCCAACAAAAAATAGAAAAAATCCCCTGCCCTCAACAAAAATCCCTTGGAACAGCTTTTCCAATGAACAGCTCCATTGGCTGCACCTGATATGCACCTGGTCATTCCAGTTTTTGTCCACCCTATAGATGCTTTAAATCCGAGGGGTCATATTTCTACAAGAAGTATGGATGGTTTAATTCCGAGAGGTGTTGATATATTTAATTTTTTCACATACCCATCCGTATATGTCAAATCAGTAAAGTTACCAGGGAGGTGTGTTAGTTAACAAAAATCTGACACCTGAATGGAGGATTTGAATCCATAGGGTGTCATAACCTTAATATCCATCCGTGGGGGGGGGGGGGGGAGTGGTGTTGTAGTGGTGGACAAAAACTGGAATGACCCACCAATGATGTCCTGGGTGTGGGTAATTTGTAGTAGAACTTACGAGAGATAAATACAAACCATGGATTATTTTTTGTTAAAATGTAGATGTTTATAGCTCTGCAGATGTGGTTTCTAATAGACGTCACGGCAATCATTCTGATTGGTAATTGGCATGTTTTATGTTTATAAAATTTTATAAATCTGGTACAGGTTACCATACCTTACCCTTTTTTATAACCCTAAGCTACTTTTTTTATATTAAAAAATCATAAATTGCAAATGATAAATGTTGGTTTAGTGGCAATTCCCAGTGTGTGTAAAAAAAATGGGAATTATTCTACCTTCTGTTTTCACATCGCATTTCATGTGACATTATTAGCCTTGGGTAAAACAATATTTGGGTAAGATTTGGTCATCTTTATGTACCGGTAGTTATATTTAACCCAAAAATGTACAAAATCAACAGCTATTGTTAATTTGTACGTTGAAAATGCAACTTTTGGCCGTAATACATAATGTAACATGTTTGATTAAACATACCGATATGCAAATGAGCATTCTACTGATCACCTGGTAATTATTAATGTTTATTCTGGTATCTGGTACACATCTTTGAGTGTATCTGGTGTAAAACACAATTTGGAACTACATTTTAAAGTACAGTAATATTAAAAATGTACATACATATTGGAAATCACAGAACAAGTGTGTATACATATTTATCTTACAAACATCGTTGAAAAATAAAATTATGCATATGCCACAAAAAAAACCCAAGAACTCGTTAATTATGTGTTAAGCTCACTTCAAATCCCCCAATATGATAGGTGCAAAAATAATTAGAAGTAATTAAATATGCAAGTCATTTGCATTTTGTATGCACGCATGCATACAGCAAATTCTGACCTGTCATCATATACCGGTAGATATATAGGTTCAGAGTCTTAAAATTAGATTTTTTTTTATATTTAGAGTGTATGGGTTTAGTATACACACACAGAGCTCTAGCAAAAGATATTATAAAATATTGAATGTGGATATTCAAATTTGATATAATTGTTTTCCTCACAAACCAGTGAATTTAAAACCTAGTTGCCTGCTAGGTTAAATCTGCTAAAATTAAACCCAATGAATATTTTTGTGATGATATCTTTAATTCTCTAATTTTGGTGAATATTTTGGTCATTTTTTGTAAATTGTGATGTTGTTGAGTTTTTGTTAAAAAACGCAAATTCGATTGCTTTTATGTTATGTGGACCTCTCTTAGATTTGTTCATTTTGGTGATGATATCTTCAATTCTCTAATTTTGATGAATATTTTTGGTACATAGTGATTTTTTTTACTTCTTGTTAAAAACCGCAAATCGGATTACATTAATATTATACATGTAGGTACTACAGGTTGACCTCTCTCAGATTTGTTCATTCTGTGATGATATTTTAAATTCTCTAATTGAAATGTGTATTAATTGCTAACAGTAGAGCTATTTCAGCAAAGAGTCTGCTTGTTGTTTATTATAATTACTGATTGACCAATACACATCTATAACTCTGGTCACATGGCATGTTGTGATGTATGTTAAAGCGGGGGAGTCGTCTCCTGCGCATGCGTCAGATGGCCATAGCGTGCCATTGTTTACAAAAAAAGCGTTTATCCATATGAGACTGCGTTTTTAGCGTGTGTTGTTATCGTTGCTTGGGACTTAATTCCTGCGCGTGCGCAGGTGACCCCCCCCTTAACATTGCTGTTGTTGACTGTAATCATTATTAATCTAATCCAACCCTGAGATGTAGGAGGCTGAGTGGACTAATCCACACACTTCCTGACTAAGAGTTTGACTGCTTTCTGCTCCTGCACCACAGTCAACTTAACAACCAATAATATGTCTTCTTATATATCTCATGTCATGCCAGTTCCATATGATACAGCTCATTGGATATTGTTGATGGCATGATTGGGAGATGCATGAAATTCAAAATTGTGAAAAAACATGTAAAAAAATACTACACTCATTCAGTAAATCTGATATTACACATTCAGTTAACCAGGATGTATTACTATTATGTACATTTAAATAAATGAGAGACACAAGTATTAGCCTGAACAATTATTGCATACAAACTTTTTGATTTGAGAGAGCTGTACTGTATCAGTGATAAATGCTGTATATGTACATGCAATAGACATAAATTAAATTCTGAGTAGTGATCAATGTAATCCAATAATTACATTTATGCTTATTTTTTACAGATGTTCAATTATTTGGTGAAATCCCTGCCGTTTTACTTGTCAGTGTTACTGTACTTCATTTACTGGCCAGAAGACCCAACATTTGATCATGTTGTCTATAAACTACTTCCAATCTTTTCATTGGTTGCGTTCATCATCATCTACTCACTGACAGTCAGCAAAATATCAAAGTTTGCAATAGGTATCATTGTTGGTCTAGTCTTCTCGAGTTTTGGCGACTACTACTTAGTGCTCGGAGACGTCCATTTTATTCAAGGTACTATTGCGTTTGCTGTCGCTCACATAGTCTATGGCATAACCTTTGGTCTCAAGCCATTCAAGCCTCTGATACTTCTCATCTGCGTATTTGTCGGACTCGCAACATACATCTACTTGTTTCCAGGCTTGTCCCAAATCTTTATGTTGGTAGTTGCTATATATGTGACTCTCATTTATTTTATGGCCTGGAGAGCGCTGTCAAGATGCCAGTTGAGTAAATTGACCTGGGGACAGGTTTTCTGTGCACTCGGAGCCATATTGTTCCTGGTATCGGATTTCACCATTGGAGTAGAGAAATTTAGGACCGATATATTGGTACCGCACGCAAAACTCATCATCATGAGCTCATATTATGCGGCACAGTTTTTTATTACGATGTCAGTTATTGACTATCCAACCAAAAATGGCAGAGAAAAGGTTGAATAGATATAGTATGATGTAGGTTAATATAAACTATTCAACCAAAACTGGCAGAAAGAAGGCTGAATATGTAGATATTGTACTGTTCAGTATTCTGTGAGAGGGATTAGCAATGATCAGGATTATTAATTTACTTTTCAAGTAGTGCATAGTATGTCTGTGTGTGTACACAGCATCTATGTAGAATGACACACACAGGTTTGTGGAGGAGTACTACCGGTAGTATGTTTAAGCTATGAAAACCAAGTAAGTCAAATAGTCAACAATGATAATGATGATTTGGAGGGAGGGGTGACCTCATTAATAGGCATAACTATAATATCTCAAGTACTGATATGCAGCCAGTGATATATTGAAGGCATCTGAAACTTATCAGATAATCTTAAAAACTCGTACAGATAAAACTTGGTGCGTAGATGATCTGGAATAAATCCCAGACACCCAAGTTTAGATGAATTTAGATATTTTATAATATGACACAGTAATACTGCAGTTAATAGATACAGGATATAGATTTTATGACTTCTGTGTCCATGATATTTAGTTAGGTTATGTCAGTAATCAAGTTGATTCATTTCTTGAACATCACGCAGGTATCAGTAGTATCAGCTTTGTTACCCAATGAGTTTACCTTAGTGTCCCTTCAATATGTTATTCATAATATTCTATATCCTTCAATTTTGGTCTTTAAAATGGGAGCACAACTTTGAAGTTCAAATCCTGCTTGTGTCTCAAAAAATAGAACCTCAAGTTCAAGTGGCTGCCATGACCTTGTTAACAGCAAGAGAGCAACGAGATTTAATTGTTTTTATGTCATTATGGTATTTGGAAGAAAGCTGAGACAGACTGAAACACTATACAAGGGATAAAAAATAACAAACTCATGGTAATAACAATTTTTTTTTTAAATTCTGTGACATGATCGACCTATTAAAAATTAAAAAAAACATTTACCATCTGGTTGTGGTGTGATGGATATTAGAAGAACTATTTATATGGAATGACAACTATGAACAAGATATACCATGCATGCGACACAGAAACCTGCAAATAGTCCCTTATGGATGAGTCAATATTCGGTCTTTCCTCAGTGATTGCATGAGTGGATATAGATAAACAATAATTGGAAAAAACAATAGGTGAAAACTTTACAGTATTAATTGCTGTAATTAAGTATAAACCTAAATATTCTGAGATGAAGAATGATTTCTAATCCTGCATCTTAGGAAGCACTGCAGATGATAGCCTAATTGCACAAGATGTCCATCATAATATTTATTTATCACTTTGGGTATTACCCAAACATTTTTACTAATATATGTTCATCAGCCGTAAACGCTGCTGTATTTTTTGTATATACATTTAATGCTGCAACTCTAGCCTGTGTTTGGAAAGTATCAGAACTTATGTTTTTAGAAATATATAGTGTATGTATATATATATATATATCATTTTGTATTTGTTTTTGCTTATTTGATATGGGGAAGTTTTTTTCGTAGTTGACTGTTCGCTTTCAATTTTGACGTAACTGTCTATGGAACGGATTTTTACATTTACATGTTTGCTTTTCAGCTGTGAGTGCAAGCAATAGAACTTGATACAATGCAATAACTATGTCTTTGATTGTATTACTATTTTGTGCAAAGCCTGTTTTTACTTATATCTGAATAAATGTTAATTTAAGAAGTGTATATTTTCATAAATTACTTTTTGATGATTTTCTGAAATTGTTTTCATTGGTTACCAGGGTGATAGTTTCTTACCTAAAACTACTGTAACATAAGATACCTTTTTGTTGTATATAACTTGTTTTCATTGAATTATTCCGAAGTGAAAATACGTCATGACAGGGGATTTTTTTATTCTCATTCACTAAGAAAAAAACAAATTTTCAAAGATGTAATATGGACAAAAATCATATAAACTTCTATACTGCATTTGAATATGATTATATAACAGGAAACCAAAAATGTTTTTTTTTTAGCACAAACAATATAGTATTATTGACTTGATGAAAAATACAAAGTACTATTACACATGTGCACTGATTGTTAATGTATGCACCCAACACAATCAGTGCACATGCATACTAGATAATTTCATCATAAGATCAATGTTTTCAGTACAATAATCAATAATAATCATGTGTAATCATTATCACATCAAACTGGGATGTTAAAAATTACATGTTCTTGTCTAAATTGCATCTTTAAATAAAGGGATACTTGAATTATTGTTAAAACTAATATTTCTCACAATAACCTCTGTAACACACATGACATGAAAACCATGAATAAAGATGCTCCAGCTTGTGATTATAAACTGAATTGTTAAGCAGTGGAAATTAAGTTCAGAATTTATTTGTGAATACTCAACTATGGGTATAACTCGTAGGTTTTTCCATCTGATTAACAAGTTTTGTTTTATAGTTTTTCTAATAGTTGATTTGTAGCCAATGGAAAAGTAAGGCTATTTGTTCTAAAAGTAATAATAATATACCGGTAGTATGAAATTACATATTACAAATTCTGTGAGAAAATGAAAGTAACATGTAAAGTTATATCAAATTATGTCAGATATGGACAGACTTCTAGATATATTTCGAATATTTATTTGTCAGGCCAGTTGCTAATATTTAAAAGTCCCAAATTTTATTACAAAATATTGACTTTCCAAACAATCAGCTAAAAATATTTTCTGACAGGACGAGCATGAAGTAAGGTGAAACAAACACCCCATTATCAGGAGATGTTGTACACACAGGTTGCTTTAATAGTAAGGTTAACGTAATTCTCCCATCAACAAATACGGGTAGTTTCCTAATTTCCACCATCTGTTGACACTGACCACTCAGCAGCATAGACCACATCTGAATTTTCATGTCGCTGCTTAAAGGAAAAGTCAAGCTAAACAACATAATGACCCCTCAAGAAAAAGCTCCACAAATGTAGGAGAATGTAAGTTAGTTTTTTTATATCTCTTTTCATTCTCTAGATATTCAAATTTTCATCAGTATTATGTAGTCAGCCACCATAATGGCAAAGGACTATGGGT